CAGGAATGGAGAAGACTTTCTTGGTAAGGGGTGGGGTTGGAAATAAAAACCCCCAAAATTCATACTCTCATATAAGCACTATTATTGTCTTGCTATTTAATTCAAATAAGAACTATTTCAGATTTAAACCAAATTTAACAAATGAGTATTTTAAAATTTCTGTTAAGAGACTTGAAAAATAATTTTCTTTGTTACCTATAATTTAACTGCCTTCTACCTATTTTTCAATTTTTCCACCTTTTAACTTTAAAGACACCAGCATTTAGAGAACTAATTAATACCTCACAGAGGTATTTTTAAATCCTTTCATATAGAAAAAAAATAAATACAGTGAGTACTTAAATCAATGCACTGCTTACAAAAGGCAAACTCTTAATTTATTCTCCCATTTCTTTTCTACATTCCTCAACCTTTCTTACTCTTTTGGTTTCTCAGCTGGGAAATTTTAAGTTAAAGCATCTGTTCAATAAGCAACTAGGGAAGCCCGACAAACAGAACATTTTCCCCACGTAATCTAAAAATCTAAAGATTAAATTAAATGCTGGCATTTTATTTTTTTTTTTCACCAGACCTTCTTTCCGTATTTTTCCTTTTTGGAGCTGAAACATGACCAAGTGACTCGTTTGGTGAATGTTCCTCCCCATAAGCATCCACAGCAGTACTGTGCAAAGGGTGATCTATAAGGAACAGAAAATAAGCCACATGAAAATTGTTCTGATCTGTTCAGGCAAAGAGCATGGACATGCTAGCACTGCCTGCCATTAACTTTAGAATTTTTGTGGTTTGCTCATTAATACAAAGGAAGTCTTGTTAAAAGTTTTACTTGAGGCTTAGGAAAAATATACACAGTGAAAAGCTTCATAGTTTCTATACTCATCCACCTGCTATTTCTTTACAAACTGAAACCAAAGGTGCACGACAGCTCAGCACGTACGTATGGCATATAGCAAGCAAAACATTTTGTACAGTTTATGTAAAGTCTCTTTTTGCTATCGCATGCATCAATCTTCTATACATTTAAACAACTACTTTCTAAATGTTACCTTTTTTTAAATATGGATTTTTAGCTGTTTTATTGGATGCGATAAGACGACAGTTACAGCTGCTACAGAAAGTTTGTAAATGTAGAATTCTTGAAGGTAGCTATCAAAACAGATTAAAACTCTGAGAACCTTAAGGTTTTAGTCTGCTTTCTATAACATGTATTTCTTTTTTCAAGCACATTACAACAGAAATTTAGTGTTAGCTTACATTAGTGTTAGTGGGCATCCTTTTTCTAGTTTTTAACACATACCACAGAGATGAGGAATGGAAAAGCTTTTAATTTTCAAGCCTTTCCCTTATGACAATCCTTCTCCTATATTGTCCTTTATAGGTCACTTTCAATGTTGTTTCTAGTAGTTGCATGTATATTTCCATGATTTTCACAGAGTAATAAATATTACAGCTGAGAAACAGTTCTTTGCATTTCCTCTACAACTTCTAATTACACAGTTTTGCAAAGATTTTTCTTACTGACATCGACATATAAGAGCTATATATCTCTCTCTCTAATAACAGAGGACTTCACATGGGGCCACCTATTCCATCTAAATTGATTCTCTTCCAGTATACTGAGGACTCACTGCACAACTCCGATAGCTTCACCAAAAATAGTATGTTTTTATGATGTTATTTTTTTAAGTAGAACATCCCTGTGAACGTTTAAGTTTGCTGCCGTGCATACTCTTACAATAGCAAAAATTTCACCTCATAATTTGTGTAATGGTGTAATTTAAGATATTTAACTTTCCTTTTAAAAATGCAAATTCTGACACAATTGCAATGTTGTATTGCATGAATTCTACCATTCAGACTACAAAACTTCAACAGCCAGTATTTTTCCATCAACTTTTACTTGTGCA